GACATTTCTGTTTCTGCTCATAGCGGCAGTATTGCTCTCCATATGCTCTTCTCGTCAGCATCTCATCGTTATTGGATAAATATGTCTCTCGTTATGCGCAACATTATTTTTGAAGTATGGAATCATTATTTTGTTACATAACTTCCAAATTTGGACCTTTGCAACAATTTATAATAATCTTCAGAAATTGTAATTAAAGGAAAACTTTACACAAAGAGAAATAATTAGATCAAAGAAGCATTTAAAGGTAAATCATTAATCTGTGGATTACAGGAAATAGTGGCTATGTGTAGTTCATTTAATTATACTTGGTTCAACTTTGTTTTGTCATTACATCACAATTTATTTGGAATTAATTTGCAATTTCTTCTGTAATCTGATTTCCATTTGCTTAATATAGCAGATATTTTCGCTAGCATGTATTTATATATAAATAAAGGTTTATTAATGACTGCTGGGTTAATTAAACTGTGGACTCTGCTGTCAGTTAGCTGTGAATTTTGTTGCTCGGTAGATGCAACCCAGAAGGTCTGTGCTCAGAGAACAGGAGGCAAGGAGTCAAATAACTTGTTGAATGTATGCATATATACAGTAGATTGTGACTGTCCCTTGCTGGAGGGGGACCAGGTGACATGGCCTGGGCTTTGCCTGCTCGGAGAATTATTAATAGAGGATAACATGATTTTGGTTCCCGTGTGGAGAAAAGGAAATGGTATGCTTTAAGTCCGTAGCAAGTAATTGGTAATAGAAACGGTAATTTCCCAAGCTGCAATATGTTGGTGGCTGTAGGTAACAAGGACTGGGTGTGTTGGAAGGTTTTAGGATGTAGGCTTTGTGCAACTGGTTTGCAAGTTTGGCAATCTGTATGTAATGTCTTTACTTTGGATAGTGTTAGAGTATGAAAAGATTTCTTTTCTGTTATTTGCTCTAGTAGAAGTTATTTTTAAATATGTCACGTAGTTTTCTGAAGTTGTGTTTTAATACCTTGGTAGTATATTAATGTTTATCTTCCTTTAATTGTTCTTCTGCAGCACTCTCAAACAAGTGTTTTAAACTTCTACACTGCTAAAATTATATGTATTTTTAACTACATTTTTAAGTTTTCAATACAGATTAAAATTAGCTATTTCTTGGCTTCTCTTTGTTCTTTTTTTTCCTTTGATTAAAAGACTTGATTTTCATTCTAGTCGAATTCTGTGGCCAAATTGACTTTCGCCTTAGACTATGCAGTATTAGCAGCATCTGTGTTAAGTTTGGACTCAGCTAATCTTTTGGAATCTTTGAATATAGGGTTGTAAGCCAAAACTTAGCTATCCAAGAGCACATCTGGCTTGCATAGTATTACCTCATTTGTATAAGGTAGTGCTCTTAGTTTCTTTTCATTAGTTTGTTTTTTTGTTTGCTGGAAAGGGGAATTTGATACAGGGGTTGTGCTGGCAACAGAAACAGTTTAAGGAACTTCAGTGATTTCTTTCTTCCTGTAGTGAAATTCACATTAGAAGTCATGATTTTGGTACATAGCCAGGTATAGTAAATAAACTAATAAAGTAAGACAAATGTGTAGACACTACTAGCTATTCTGTCGGGTTTGCTGTGTACAAACAAAGGTAGAGTTAAATGTTGTTCACTTTCTTCAGATTACTGCTACTTCTTCCAATTAGTGAAACTACCGCTTCCTAGGAGAATCGTGCCTTTTGTAAAAAATGAAATGCTTTCAAAGTTCGTTTGGATAAGCAGCCGTTTGCTGAGGAAGGCAAAGCAACCTTATTGATTTGCACTGAGAGAGGAATGTTGTTTTCTGTCTTGTAATTTAGGTATTTTCAACCTGCACTAGATGGAAAGAGATAAATCTTAGCAATACAATCAGCTGAGGAGTTTGTAAGAAATGGGATTCGGAATGTGTTTGCTTTGCTTCTATTTACATCTGTAAGATAACAGCGTGAAATCAATAGTATTTTGTTCTCAGTATTTGTTATTAAACATATTAGTATGCGTAGGGAAATAAAGAAGACATTTGGAAATGGGTAACCTTGGGTTAATTAAATCCATCTGCTGTCTGACTAATGACAGGAATATTGTATCCAGGGAATCGCTTATGCTAAAAGATTTGATAGCGCACAGAAAGTTTTCTAACAAAGCACTCTCAGAGCAAGCGAGGACTCGTGTGTAACTGGAGAGAAAACCAGTGCCAGGGAGTAACTCACGGTACCGTCAGGCTCAGCTCCGGGCGGGAATGTCCCAGAAGAAGTTACGAACCACGTTCGTTGTTCCTTTCGATGCAAAATGGTAACTGGCAAGAAAAGTAAAACTTGCTTTCATCTCATGCTACACGGAGTTGTGTTTTATGGGGCTAATTTAACTGGCTGTGTTTCCGTGCTCACGAGTGGCCGGGATACAAACGTTCATTGGGAAAGAAGCTATACAGGCTGCAAAAATGATCTTCCAGGGACGCGGTGATGGCAGCTGAAGGAAGACAGACTTCTCATTCGTATCGACTGCCAGTCTGATCCTATATCAATTAATGCCTCAAGATGCTTGGGGTGACTGTTTCCAAACAGCAAGTATGATAGTTGCTTTCTGTTTACACTGCTCCAACTCATATCAAGAGGGGGGAAGAAAAAAAAAAAAGACTTTGTACTACAGCTTCCACTTTGTATTGGTCATCTGTGCTGTTTGGTGGTGTTTGATCAATGATTTTTGTAGCTGTAAGTTAGTTTTTCGTTACTTCCTAATTCATAGTTTCTGCAAAAGAAAATCAAATACATAGTTTGATTTTTATTGAAATAATTATTTGATCAATTTGCATTTCATATCTTCATAGTCTTGTACAAAACGTAGTTTGGGGGGTGGGGATGGGCTTGTGAAGTTTGTGGAGACCCTAAAGCAAGGCATCAGATGGAGAATAGTTTATTCCATGTTGATCTGACAGATGGGCAGAACAAAACTCTGAGAGATTAACATTGTTCTGCAATTTAATTTTTAAAGCGTGCAAAAAAAGAGTGGCTTAATAGAATTGAAAACGGAGGGTGGGTTTGTTCGATCTATGTCGGAGGAACTTGTTTAGGCTTCCTTCATAGCGAGTCGGACGAAGTCGCGCTAGTATGTGATTTATTTCGGCTTAAAGCAGGCGTCTAAAATAGGTCAGATGAATCGCTCTCTGAAACGCCTGGTTTTCTCCTCCGCGTTTAAAGTGACCATTTCAGATGTGGACATCTGAAGTTTGATTAGGTGAATGCCTTTCTGACTGTTACACTTTAAAAGGCATGACTTAATCATTGGTTTTTGTAGGTGCTAAAGACAATTTGTTAAACAGTACATTTTAAAAGGTATTTTTGATATAACTGTGCCAGGTTGAGTGTAGAAATTGATGATGTATTTCTAAACAAGCGTGTCACACATTCGTACTTTGAAAATGTGGCCTGAAGCATAGATCTGCCATGTGTGCTTTCTAGTTCTGCTTCTCTCTCGTGCTGTTTTGGTGTGTAAGAGGTAGGGACGGGCACCCCCGTTCTCACGCGCGCTGCAGAACCTGAGCGCAGGCTGAATGCTGGGCGCTTGCTCGCTGTACGCCGAGAGGCGTGTATTCACTGGAGAACTTAGCCTTGAAAGCGCAGAATACAAAAAAGAGTTTCAGACTAGTAATTGGCCTCCTTTAAAACATTTTCTGTCAAGCAATGTAGCTTACTAAACTTTTACTTAAAAAAAAGAAAAAAGTCCTGAACTTTTTTGGTGATCTTTAATAAACCCGTTTCTACTAGTAAACATTGTAGTGTATGTTAAGAGTTGACAGTGAATTCCTGGCAGATGAATTAGCAGATGTATATTCTGTGGAACTGCTTCTAATTACATGGTAGTTATGGTTACCAGGTTGAAAGAAGTCATGGCCTGACGATGAACAGAAATAGATTGCAACAGACTGGTTTGGTTTTGAGTTGCTTAAAAGCAAAATGCTCCAGGATAAGATCACGAGGACTAAGAACGTACGAGTGACAAACGTAGGAGCAGACTCTGCTGCTGAACTGGCACAGAGTCGCTTTTTCAAATCCTTGTTTTGATGCAAAAGCACCATATTTTTTGAAGTTGGGGTTTGTGTCTCTGTAGTTTGAGAGTTGGGTGCCAACCACATATTTGTAATCACAGTGTAATGAAACTATGTACTTGAAATAGTTAAGATTTTGAATGAATGTTGCTAATATTTTCATTTTGTTTTAGTACTGGACAAACAAGTTCCAACAGTCTTTTCACATTCAAGGAAAGTCGTGTGCACTTTACTTTAAATCTAACGCTTAGAATGACTTAAGGGAAGTATTTATCTTTTCTTTTGGATGCTCCAGCACTTGGAAAGAAATGACAGAAGTATGGGTTAATTCAAGCAGGAAGGACAGAACCGTGCGTAAGGACAGTTGTACATTTGCACTGATGTTGGTGGGCCCACTTCACATGTTTTTAGCGTATATGTTTCCTGGAAACATCAAAAGTACTTGAGTCCGTTTCCAGGAGGGAATGTAGGTGTTGAGGAGTTCAAGCTCTGTTGACTTCAACATAAAGAACAAAAGATTTACTGTTTTCACGAGTTTCCACGTGGCTTAGAAACTCAAACTGCAGTGAACTGTGTTGGATTTAGAGCCCTTATTCACACGAGCTTTTCTCAATGCGTTACTCTCCTTTTATGAATTATGAACTATGTAGAACTGTATGTCTATATGTAACTTCAACGTAAGTCCTACAAGTCTGTATATTATAATGTAGAATAAGATTTTATGGCAACGTGCTCTTCCTCAGACTACGGATGCATTTAGACCTGGTCTTTTGCACCAGGGAAGCTTTCCTAGAGATCCTCGTTGGGCCAGTAATAGCCACTTTAGTTTTAAAGGCTGGACACATTAAGACTGAAACTTTGTGACTGATGCTGCTCCATTTTGTAAGCCTAGCCTACAAATTCACGGTTATGAGATCGTACTCAGTTGATCTGCTCGCCTTGTTTTACAGAATAACCAACCATGACTACAGAATCGGGATCGGACTCCGAGTCCAAGGACAAAGAGCAGGATCAGCAGGAGAGCCCTGCGCAGCAAGGGGCGGCGGAGACCCAGCCGCAGGACCAGCAGCAGCAGCAGCAGCTGAGCGAAGAGCATCAAAACGCGCTCGAGCAGTTCTCGGCCGTGGCAGCCCACAGCACGCCAGTGAAGAAGGAGCAGGTAAGGGAGCCCATGCACGCATGCTCGCTGCATGGGCAGCCAGCTACGTGCCCGCTTACTGCTCCTGGGAAGTAACGAGTCGTGGAAATTACATATTCAGATATGCTTGGAGGGCTGCTTGGTGTGATGCTGTAAATCTTGACTGGTTGGTTTTTTGCGTTTAAAAAGTAACAGTTCTCATGCAGGATGTTTCGAAATTCATGCCCTGCTCTGTTCTTTCAGTGTCAGTTGCCACCAGCCAGATCTCATGCAAAGCGTGGTTACCAGTATTTTACAGAAAAGCCTTTCTTAAAACCAGATACTGCTAGTTCATTTCTGTCTCCAATGCTTAAATATAAGGGCAGTCTTACTAACTAAGCAGGAGACATCTTCGATCTTGCATTTGCATTCAGTAGCAAACAGTGCCAATTTCTAAGAAGCTGAAAATGTTTTCAGAGTTCATTTCTTCGACACCTGCCAAAAACTGATTTTGTGCTTGCTTGTGTGATGTGTGAGCCATGAAGAATCTGTGGTCCCTTAAGCTTCTCGTAGTTCTGAAATGACTGCATTATAATTACTTTAACTTTTCAGGTAATAGGTTTCAGAAGAGCTATCACATGCTTTCCATTTGGTTCATTGTTGCACTTATTAAATTTGCGGAAGCTGCTTTCTTTTTTCCTGTTAATGATTTCCAGTCAATAGGATTAACAGGCATTGTTCTTCATGGGTAAGTGACACACAATTAATGAGGTACCTGCAAATCGCATCCCTCAGCTCTGTAAGGTTCTGACCCCCATCTGATCGCACTCACCTTTGAAGAATGGAATAAGTCAGTCCAACTCCTCCTCACCTCCACCCTTGAAAAAATTGAGATTGTTTGAAGTGGGATCCTAGTTATTTTACCTAGCTGGGAGACAGTGCTGGTGAAGCAAGCAGATGTAAGATGTTACTTAAAATCAGCACAAGTGCTCCTGTAGCTCTTTGGGGCTGACTGTGGTCTTGGGTTTTAAGCTTTTATCCACAGAGCTACAGTCTAAACTTGCTGTTGGTGGGGAAAAAAATGGGAGCGTGAGCAATTTCAGATACAAAGTATTTTTGTATCTATCATCTCCCTCATTTAGGGATGCATTACCTAAATACTTGGGATAGCAAATGTTTCAGGGACCAAATTAAAAGAGGTGTCGTATGTCTGACTTCTAATATCTCAAGAGGTAGACATGGCAGGGCAGAATTTCTGCTATTTATTGCTATTGAAGATCAACCATTGGAAGAACTGCTTTTTTTGTTTGTTTGTTTGCTAACCATTTTTACCATTAATAACCCTTGATCAGCCTCACTCCATGCCCACCAAAGACCTCTCTGCTCTTGCTTCAACATCCACCGATTATGTGTTGGCACAATTTTGGTCTCTTAAATAGATCAGAACACACATGTAATTTGTTTGGGGAAAAGAGGCAGACTGCTTGTTGAAAAGAGAAAGGTGCTGTGCAAGCTGGTCATTAATTTGAAGTGAATTCTATCAGGCCTAGACATAAGTATTATTAATTTTGTTCTTCCAGACATCTTTAGTAATCTTTCTGCCCAAAGTTTCTTTTCATCTTAAAAAAAACAAAACAAACTTCAAAATAACCACAAAAACCCCTCACCCTCAGGCACCAGACCTGTCCATCTGTGCGTATGGAGATGTGAGTTTGGAGACCTGAGACGTGCTTGTGTGCTGCGTGATCCCTTCTTTTCCCAAAGAAGGTGACCTGTGAGCCAGTGTCTGTAGAAGCCTTGGTAGAAGAGCTAGGTTAGCGAAGGACGTGTGAGACCTTCCCATTGAGATCACCAGACTGAATCCAAAAGTCCCTGTTGTAAGCTGACTGCCAATTCCAGCTGCAGTGATCTGCCCAGTACATTTCGTAGTGGCTGAAGTGTCTGCATCACTGGAAAGAACCACGTAAGCACAGCACTAAGAGACAGAGCTACTGGCAATGGTGTCATTAAAAAAGCCAAGAATTGAAGGAGTAATGGGTATCATTCTCTCACCATCTGTAATCGCACTGAGGAAGTTGATGATTTTTGCTATTACTCATATGAGAGAACCTTGGGAAGAAAGATTTAAGTTACCCATCCATGACAGTGACTTTTTGTTGTCATTCTATACACATAAAAATGAACATTTTTATGAAGACAAAAAGGCTTTTTCGTGTTGAGATTAGCAGTTACTACAGAAATGAATCCTTTCTATCAGATATAATAATGCAATCTTACGATCCTCCTGCCTTCCTATCTTGTTGAAAATGAGCTTGAAGGCATCGCATGGGTTGGCCATGGACATTTTGGAGCAACTATCATAAGTAGATGAGATTCATGCGTTGTGCAAGCTTGGTAATACCACTTCCTACCCCACTGAGAAGCTGTGAAGAGTCAAAGATCATTACTGCTGAATCCTGTGACTCCAAAGGCTTGCTTCGAGCGGGGGGTTCCAGCTTCAGAAAGAGTTGAACATAGTGTCATAGTAAGGTACAGTAATATAGAGATGAGAGAGCTTATGCTCAAAAAACACAAACCCTTGAGTAACTTGTGCTGCACTAGAATTTAGTCCACAATGCTGAAAATACTGCAAAAATATAGCACAAAGGTATCTTGGGGGAGAATTTAGGAGAAAATGCAACTATGCTTGCAGAGTTCTAAGTAATTCACTGAGTACATGAGTTTTTCACTGACCACTTTTTTTTTCCTAGATACCAGGATGTCAGGTTTCTTTAGGAAGAAGAGGCTTAATACAGCCTGAAAGTACCTCAGTGCCTGAACATGTCAGCATAGTTTGGGGGATCTTCTCTAATAGTTCTTGGCATGTTTTGTTCTCTAGACAAATGAGAGAAAATCCTTTGGATGATTTTAACCGAGACACATTCCCCAATCTTAATGTAGACAGGAACCTTAACAAACAAAATAACCTCAATATCATTAAAAAAAAAATTTATAAATAAGCAAATTTCTGCTGTAGTCTTGAGTTACCAAGTGTCTTTGTGTGAAGGAAAATAAGCACCGATCCATAAGGATTCATAGAATTTGTTTGTAGGCTGAAGATGCTTCTAAAACTTCAATGGCTGATGGGTGCCCTTGTGGGCTTTTCTCTCAAGCAGCTTTCCTGTTTTCATTAAAAAGATTATTTCTGTACATCTGTTTGGTGAGGGTGGTTTGGTTGTTGGTTTTTTGGTTTTTTTTTTTTTTTTTTGTTGGCGCAGAGTGTTAATTCTCACATGTGAAACTAAGGACCCACTGGCCATGAAGGTATATATCTACCACTTTTGCACCTACACATGTGCACCTTCCATGACAGATTTCTTCAACAAAATGTACGGAAATCATCAAAGAGCCCCTCTGCCCATCAGCAGAAGCACAACTGTTCACAGAGGCCCTGGGAGGAGACATCTTCAGTCTTGTTTTTCTCCCGGTGCAGTAGGTTGGACCACTTGCCAGCTGGCCACAGTTGTGGTAGAGGCGTAGCTGGACTCAAGCCTTGCTCTGAGCCTGGGGGGACTCTTCCCCTTCGTCACAGCGAACATGAGCGTTAAATGCTCAGCGAACAGCTAATTCGCTGACATACATTGTGCCCTTCATCTCCTTGCAGCCTACAACATATGCGAGGACCTTGATGTCCAGACGTAGAGCTGGTGTCCAAGTGCTGGAAGGAGAATGTCCTCCAGTGCTGGAGCTAGATGGCGGAAGAGCCAGTTGGTGCTGGACTGCTCCTGGGGAAGAACACCCACAGCTCAGGGGATGATGTGCATTTTGAAAGCAGCTCTTGCTTTTTTTTATTTTTCTAGTCCCACTTTCTTCTAGTTTCCCCACCCAGGGAAGCCCAGGAGACCATTGCTATGTCCTCTCTTGCAGGGAAAGGAGGAGCCTGGGGTCTTGCCTCACCTCTTTGCAGTTTGTTGGGGCTTTGGTGGGAGCTGGCGCTGTCAGTAGCACAGCCGACTCCAAATTCCTTTTCCCTCCACTCACCCGAAGGCAGAGCGGAAGCTTATGGCTTGTTTTTATGAAATCTGTCGGGGAGAGTTCCCTGTGATTTAAGTGTGCACTGTTGTTGCTGGTTATACGATGCTAGGTTCTTCTGGTCTCAAAGCAGATTAAAGCCTTTGGACAGATTTGCTGCCTTCTTGTGACGTTTTATTATATACAATGAATGGAAACAGACTTGGAGGATTAATTTACAATATGCAATGTTTGTTGCTTATTACACTGAAAACATTCAGAGCCAAACCAGTTATATTTTTTCCTTATAATGACATAACGGAAAGATGATATTTTTATTTTTTGTTTTATTTACGCTTTAGCTTAGACATCACTGCTGTTGAGGTTTTGTTTGGAGACTATCAGGGACGTAACTGATGAGAAAGGTAATGACTGCGGCGCAGTGCTGTTGCTAGGAAGGGCAAAACGCTGTAGAGCTGATCTGGCTTTCATCTAGTGCCATGGAGAAGACCTTGGGCTGTGCTGCATCACGGTAACTCTTCAGATGGTCTGACCCTCAGATAAACCCAAGCAAAGTAACTGTGGTTGTCTCTGCTTGCCCCTTTTCCCTGCAGTATATTTGTCTTTCACATAGCACCTTCTTCTCGCCAGCTTGGGGGACTTACCGGGCATATGCAGAGAGCAAAATTCAGCCTCTCATCCTGTACTTATCATCCATTAGCCAGCTGGCTGCAGATGATAAAAGTTGTTTGGCCCCTTCGCTTCCATCCTGTTTGTTTAACCCTTTGCTTGGGTGCTTGGGGAGCCTTTCGCTCTCCCGGGCACGTCAGCATCCCCCTGCGAATTCACAATGTCACGGGGAGATGCGTGCCCTCATTCAGGGGACTGTTTTCTCACTGACAGCGAAATCAGTGCAAACGTGATGGTCTTTTCCTGTTCTGTATGACATCATGGAAGCATCATATGATTTAATAGGTACAGCACTCAAAAGCAGTATCAATGAACTGTAGGAATATCTGTTCATCACAATGTTTACCCATTTTACAGCCTTTCCACAGACCAAAAAAACAGGTCCAAGAAGCCCAAGGTGGATTTTGTACCTGTGGAAAGAGTAGAAACCTAAAGTATTTTTATGCATGTCCCTCCTCCACGAATACATGGAGGTACCTCCAAGGTATTCTGTACCTTTTGGAGTAAAAGAGAGGGCTGGAAGTAATATGGGCAGTACGGGAAATCTTTTTAATAGGTAAAGAAGCCTCTGTCCTGCATCAGGGGCTTTCTCGTCCAAGCCCCACGCTAGGCTCACTTAAATGCATGGGTGCAGGGTGCATTGTGTACTTCATGGCGTGATTCGTTTATCTCACTTCACAAAGTATCTTTCTTTTTCTTTATAGGCCACAGACAAAGAACAGGAGTTTGCTGCTGCAAGTGCAAAACAGCTGGAATACCAGCAGCTGGAAGACGACAAGCTCTCTCAAAAATCATCGTCTAGCAAACTTTCCAAGTCTCCTCTAAAGATCGTCAAGAAACCGAAAAACATGCAGTGCAAAGTGACACTCCTGGATGGATCGGAATATGCATGTGAAGTAGAGGTATATTGCTTTTTGTCTTCTTTTTTTCATCCAGTCTGGAGGAAAATAGTTGAAATTAGATTTTTAATTCAAGCACAGGAATGAATAGCCTGATATTTGGCCAATGCCAAGCACAGAGATACTTCCGTTATTTTCTCTGGTGGTTGAAGACATTGCACAGATTTGAGATGGATGAGGGATTGTGAGCAGTGCCTGGAACAGCCAGAGACTTCGGGTTAATTTTATGTCAGTACATGCCACAACAGAATGCAGAAAATGAATTATAGGCAGCAAAGCCCGTAGACAAAGAAGGATTTGATCCCATAGGACTTCTCTTTTTCTTGGTACTCTGCTGAGTTCAGACTCACATTGAGTCACTGTCCAAACAGTAATTCTGACCACCGTGAGATTAGCGGGGGCACGAGAGACACCCAGGGGAGGCAGGGGAAATGTCAGAAGGACCAAATAGCAGTGAGAGTGTGGGTTTTGTGTGCTTCTCCATGATACTCGTGAATCATAACTATGTCTGAACATTACTGGCAGAAAGTTGCGGGTGGTTTTCTGTCAGGAAATTTGCCTTCCCTGCCGGGACTTTGCCAGGAGCCTACTTTTGGGAGGGATGATCTTTGCCACATTGTCGCTTAGGAACCGGTCTGTGCCTGCGGGCAGACCCGTGCTAAGAGGTTGCCTTGCCTTCAACTCCAGAAGGCCATGGAGAAGCCAAGCGTGAGTGAATTCTCATAATGAGCATGAGTAAATTCAGCATCTTAGAGTGAACCCGTTTTTCCATTCAGCCTGTCCAGCCGTGTCACTAAGGTGGTCTTTGGGCAGTGGACCAGCCTGTCCTGAGCCTGCTTTAGGTCAGGAGGCCACAAGCAGCGTCCGGGAGGGGAAGGGTGTGTGTTGGAGGGCACCTCCTTGGGCAACCACAGGGTGCGACGGGGAAGAAAAGCCACCTGGGGAGAACAGAAGAGTGTAAAAGCAGAGATAGGATAGTCTGCAGGCCTCAAAGGGGAACCCACAGGGACACGAAGAAGGAGAGAGGGCAGAGGAAAGGAACCTGACCGGGAGCCAATGCCTGATGTCTTTAGAATCAGATTGCGCTCAGCCCTTGCATCCTCCAGCCACTCTTGTTTTAAGCGCTTTGGAGAGTGGCAGGTGAGGAAGAACCTTATGATTTTTATTGAGCCGTGGCTTTACAGTTTGGGCCAAATTTTTCTATGCTAATACAGGAGCGGTGATTTTACTACTCTTACAGCGACTTCACAGTCATGCTGTGGAGTATCTTTTAGTTTCGCTGGCCAAGTCCTGTGTTGTTTTCTTCAGACTAGCAATAGCTATCTGGCCACATACTTTGTGACTATTAAATTGTCATTTCTTGACCTGCGGTCCCAGTTTTGTCTGTCAAGAATAGCGTGCGAACCATTAAGCTGGAAGAATGACTAATACTGGCTTTGATGGAAAGACTCACACTCGTTTCAGCTTTTGCCACTTGGTTATAAAATGTGAGTCACTTTTTTGGAATACAATCAAGCAAATTTTACCGGATAGGATTTCTATGGAAATCTTGTCTAGCAGGCTGAGCTTTATGAGGATATAAGATGGAGCAGAAAGGGAGATTTGTTATGTTAGACTTCCACTTATGCAAAAAAATGCTGTGAATAATACTTTATTTTAGGAAGTTTTCACTTGTTCGCTAAACTTGGACTCTGTTGGAGTTAAAGTGTCAAAATGCTAGCATATAGAAGCCATCATGTTTTATTGCTTGTCAGATTTCTCTGCTCTGCAAGTTCTGAATACCTCTTGAATAATGTCCAATATAAATTTTGTATGTATTTTTTTTCTACTTGCACTGCTGAAATATTTTGAAGTTGTATTGACTGTCATCAATAATCATTTTATCTGCTTCTAAAATAGTTAGACTTCCTAGGCAGAGTGTAATATTGATGAGAATAGAGCTTTTAAAAGGATGAATTCTCAAATGACAAAGCAATGATGATGAGCGGACCATTGGGTGCATTGAAACATAAGTTAGTTAGGAGGCACAAATATTTCAGGGAGCAAGTGCAAATGGAGTGATGCAAGCTTTCGCATACCTTAAATGGACTTGGCATCCTTCCTAGGTGGTATTGTCAGCATACTGTGTGTATTGAGGATGCAACTGCAGGTCCTTCTCTGGCACAGCCCACTCTGGCCCATGGGAACGTTTGGTAGATCCCCAGGGAAGTCCACATTCCATGTGCATAAAGTTCAGCTACAGCAAAAGGATACTGTGTCCAGCCAAGAGAAATGATGTGACTTTCACTGTGTTTTTTTCTCCCAGGGAGAAAAACTATATACAAAGGGAGTTAGTAGGGCAGGGAGACTGAGGGTCTGTCTCAGGAGACATCTCAGGAAACCATGTAGGAGGCTGAAGGTGGGGTTCTTCTACGGTAATTTTGTGTAATAACAAAGTTCTGTGGCTGTTTCACAGAAACTCAGTGCTGCAGCATGAGAAATAATCTGTCACATTTCAGAAAAACGCTATCATCTTTTAAGGATCACCTACAAGTGAACTTACTGTATCCCTTTAAACTTGGGAAATATACACATACACACACACACACACACACACACACACGCGCGTATGCTGAAAGACCTAACAAATTATGAAGGCCGGTAAATTCCCCAAAATCAAAGTAAATTCCCCAAGATTCATTCCTTAAAAGAAAGGGGAGAGGAGCAGACAGCACATGTCAATCAAATATTTAATATTTCCATTCCTTGAGTTTAACCCACTTAACTGTATCTTTTGGTGTGGATGGTGGCCCAGGGTCGGGATGTGACAGTCGGTGGATGTGAGTCAGAAACGTCATCCCGTGCTGTCAGCTCCTGTCTTCTAGCTCTGTCTGTGTATCATGCTTCTACCCACTGAAGGCTACAAAGCAGTGTAATCTAGAAATACCAGAAACTTAGAAACCTAATTTTGAGCTAGAATAATAGCTCCATCGGTGAATCTTAATTTGGACATGGGCCAGATATTTATCCCTCCAGAACTGCATTCCCTAGTCTGGGAGTTGGAGATCATTACAGAATCCATCAGTTACTCTATAAAATGCTTTCACAAATGACAAATGCTTTTATATATGTTAAATATTAATATCATTTAAAGGAACTTATTGCTCTCAAGTAGAGCGCAACCTACAACTTTTCAATTATGCGTTCATCCAGTTAATGACCTGACAGCCAAAACTGCACATACTCACAGATTGAGATGCTTCTGAGGCAGGTTTGGTTAATCCATTATCCAGTTGGTGTCCTTTGTTTCAGAAGCCCCTCTTTCTTATTCCATATTTAATGTTGAGCATCTTCACTGCCTTCTGCTGTATCTTTCAGTCTCTCTCACATCCAGTACTTTGCATTTGTGACACCAGGAGTTTTTCATATTGTATGAGATCGTATCTACAGGGGAAAATGTAGCAGAGGTAACCTAAAAGCTGAGGTTAACAGTGGTTCATCTAATGTGGTATCCTTTCGGTGAAAGGATCTTAAGCAAATGCCAGGTAAAAGCTTTCTCTTGAGGCCCCTGCCTGTCTGCTCTATCTGTCCTGACCCAGAAAGTCATTCATGCAGTAAGACATTACAAGCCCAAACCAGGTTAGGTAGGTAACCCAACCTGTTCATTCATCTTCCTCCAAATCCATAAACCAGAAGCGTTACCATCTGTACCCCCCACGGCTGCTCTCGTTGGGGAGCCTACAGATGGTAGTGGTGGGCTTATTTAAGACGGGTATTTCCTGTCAGAGGTGGGATGGCCACCTAATGGTGCTTTGCCTGTCCAGGGACAGCTCTTGGCTTTTGGAGCAGAAGTATTTGCTGTACGTTGACATTGTCCCTGATAGTCTATCGAACAAAACCAGCTTAAGTATCACTAAGTGGTTCTCCCACGTCACAAAGAAGCTGGAGGTTTCTAATGGGCTCTCAGTCACAGGAGTCAACGCAGTCTGCTCAGAGGGATGCTGAGGGGTGGTTTCCACCTAGACATCCACCTCTGCTGGAAGCAATTCTCCTTGGGCTCTTCATTGCACTCTCCCAGCCAGCATCAAGATCAGAAATGCTCTTTGTCAAAAGCGGCCAAGTCCACAGCTGGGCCAAAACTGCACTGCAAAGAGGATGCTGAAGACTTCTCTGTTAAGCAAGCTAGACCTATACTTCATTGGTTTGAAGAACCAAAGATAAAGCAAGATCTAAGACTGCAAATTAATTTCAGATAATCTTAAAAAAGAGTGAACACACTAGTTCACGTTTTTCCTAAGATATAAGAAAGCAAGCAGAAATAACTGATTTCTGGGTTCCTCCCACTTTAAGTGGGGGTTTTCAAGTGCTGTAGTACAATTATGCTATTTCTAGGACTGATTTCCCTCCTCTTCCTTTTCTGCCTCATCTCAATTTTCTGTTATCTAGACTACTGCATTTAAATTAAAAGATGCAAGTGGAACCAGCTGTCATCCTCTCCCTTACACGTAGACTAATTGGAAGTGTCTTCCTAAAACAAGTTGGAATTCACCTTCATGGTTTCTACTCTAAACATATACATGTTATTAATCACAAAGCGAGGTCAGGAAGCTCTAACATAATCTGTCTAAATAAGTGGTAAAATAATTAGATGTAATTTTCAAAGGCTCGGCTGTCTGAGCCCGTTGGTAATTTACGTTCTTTCTTCATTCCTCTACCGCTCAGACTTTCTTACTGCGCAGGACACCAGTAAATGAAAACAAATGTTTCCGTCACAGCCCGCCTGTGGCATCTCTGCAGCCCTACATCGAACAGAGTTGCCGTAGGATTGAGATAGGCTGCAGAGAACATGAAAAGCCGACGTCTCAGAAAGCATTGCTGGTATCCCCTCTTCGTGGTGGGTGGGAGTCAGCTGAGGTAGGAGGGGACTGGTAAAAATACACTGTGTTTGGGGTTGGTCTTTTTTTTTTTTCATCCAGTTTTCTCAGTCATGCTGCCGCTGGGACCTGGGCAGTAGTTGGGTGTCC